ACCGGAGCCCTCAGTAGATGCCGATGGAGTCAATATCCCAGCGCCTGACTATGACGAGGTACGAATAGCGATTATGCTGATGAAAAGTAACAACGCTGCTGGAGCTGATGGCCTGTCAGCCGAGCTATTCAATTACGATGGCAAGGAGCTAATAAGGTGCATGCCCGACAACTGGATCTCAAGTACGCTCTGCCCAATCCACAAGAAAGGCGACCCCGCCATATCATAAAATAAATGTACCTAAATGAGTAAGATTGTACCTAAGAAAGTTACATACATCATTCAATTGTAGTTTTTTTATAAATGTTATTTAAAACAAAAGATGGATGTTTTTTTTTTTTTTAACTGAGCCTATATCTATAGACTACATATAATCTAATGGGAATCGGAGAAGCGTTGTTTTTGTCTAATTTTGGCTACTGAAAAATTTTGGCGAAAAAGACAAAAAAACACACTTTGCGAAGTATACTTCTTTATCCAGCTTTTTATAAAACAACAGGAAAAGTCTGCTTATTTATCCGATTCCTTTTGATAGGTGCAGCAAGTCTAGAGAAAATAATCAAAATGCAGGAAGTAACTTCGAAAGCATTTTAAATATATTTCCAGAAATCAAAAAGCGAATATGGGTCAAATAGCTATAGTTCTCATCTAAAGAAAATATGAAATTTGAAGACATCCTAGACACTGAACTGTATGTGTGAATAAAGGCTGGTTTTCATTATGTCATATTTTGACAACAAAATTTGTCGCCTCATTTTGACACAACTTTCTTTCCTTTATCCCTACCTTTATCGATGATATTATGGGCAAAAACTTACAAATAGCCGCTTTAGCAGCGGATGTGCACGCCTGAAGGCTGCTCTAAATGCAATGTAAAATGTTTAAGATAATACATAATATGACTTTTTTAATTTCTTCCTTTTGACCACTTTTCTTTAGAATTGTTTATTCTTCAAAATGAAACCAAAGGAAATATACCAGCACGGTAAAGGAAAAAGAAAAAAAAAAACTAAAAATGAAATCTAGTGTCTGTACCTTATGTACTTTTAAGTCATCAAACGTCGGAAAAAGGTACAATTGGGCCTATTAACTATTTTTATCGAGCGTGTTGTGTGAAAGACTTAAGCCCACCGTCAATGAACTGATTGAGCCTTATCAGTGTGGCTTTAGGCTTGGCAAATCCACCATAGGCCAGGTATTCACAATACGCCGCGAGAATAGGAGCGACATTTGCCTTCTATTTGTCGATTTCCAAGCCGCTTTCGACAGCACGAAAAGAAGTTGTCTTTATTTCGTCATGTCCCAATTTCGTATCCCCGCGAAACTAAAATTGCTGAATAAAATTACGTTGAGCAATACCAGCTCCGTCATAATTAAGGAGGACCTCTCCGAGCCGTTTGATACCAGTTCCTTTCATGCTATTTCTTTAATCTGTTGTTCGAGATGATAATAAATATCGCATAACAATTTCTGGCGTATACCGCCGACATTGTTTAATAAAAGGGCTACTTCTGTTCTGCCTTCTCGAAATTAGATGGAGAAACAAAGCATGTGGGTCTGGTGGTGAACGAGGACAAAACGAAGTATCTCCTGTCAGCACACAAACAGTCAGCGCGTTCGTGCCTTGGCACCCACGTCCCTGTTGGCAGTTATAATTTCGAGAAAATGGAGAATATCCTTGACTTTAGAACCAGCATTAACACCGATAGTAATGGTGAGAAGTAAAGTCCTCTAGCCGCTCTTACTCTATAAGTCACTCATCATGTCTGTGCTGGTTTATGGCGCGGACGCATGGACAAAGATATATCTGATGAGGCGGCTCTTGGAAAGAAAGATTCTGCGAAAGATTTATGGGCCTTTACGCCTTGGCGACAGAAACTACCGCAGCCGATGGATCGTGAGCTGTATGAGCTTTACAATGACATGGACATAGTGCAGCGAATCAAAATACAACGGCTACGCTGGCTTGGTCATGTCCTACGAATGGACAGAAATGCCGTAGCTCTAAAAGTATTCAAAGCGGGTCGCGATGGTGGAAGAGGAAGGCCCACTGCGGTGGAAGGACCAATTGGAGAAGGACTTGGCTTCACTTGGTATTTCCAAATAAGCGCCAGTTTGCACAGAAGAGAAACGACTTGCGTACTGCTTTGGACTCGGCCAAAATCGTATAGGCGGCTATAGCGCCAAATGAGAAGAAGAAACATTTTGTGTGACCCAGATGCATTTGCTCTAGCGAGGCATGGTCTAGATCCATCAGCAATGTATGTCTTATTTAGCAAAAGATTCAGTTGGTTATTTTTATGTAACTTGCGAACTTTAGCTTTCACAAATTGGACAGATAAGAACATTGTACTTTCTCTTAAAACATAGCCATTTGCGTAAGTCCTTTTTGGGTACTCGCACTGTTTTAAAGTTTGCCGTTTCTCAATTCCGGCTTTTCTATTTTTTATCTTTACTTTCGGTCTCATTTTGACTAATTCTAATAACAGTTGATTTGTTTATTTTAAACTCATCACACATCATTTAACGGAAGCAACACTTTTTAGTTTTTCCAGAATACTGGTGGTAAGTCAAAGAAAGGCAAAAAATTCAAATTTTGTGTGGGTGGAATGCACAAACAAAGTACATATGTTGTAGGTATTGAGGTTAAATTATTTTGAAGGTGGTTTTATAAAGGTTACAATGTTTTGCTTTAGAGACTTGCTTTAATCAAGGAATTGCACGTATTGTTGGTTGCTGTTACCGTGTACGCACTGTAAATATGTTTCATCGGATAAACATAAATTAAGTTACGAACAATTATAAGGCTCAGCCTATGAAAAGCGCTTTTTGAAAAAAATTGGTTTTGAAAAAAATTTTTTTTTTTGTATAGGAGGCCGCCCCGAAATTTCGTCCTGACTACGCCCATGTGTGCTACCGAACCATTAGTGAACTGCGCAATTTTCAGCTGGCGATTAGTTATCATGAATAGACTTATATTTTTGCGCATGCTTTTGCGTTTTTGCATGTTTTTGCAATTAAGATTTCTTAGGAAGAATTTCTTGATTGGAAGTGGATGCTGACGGACGAGATTCTTAGCGTAACTAAACTTTAGAATACATTGAGCTTTCCCATGAATGTTGTAAGCGCGAGTTTTCTTGATTTCTTTTAGTAGAAATTATTCAGGAAATTTGATAAAATATGCGTAATTCGTGAACAATTTTAACTTTATTTTTTTGTTTTCGTTTGTTTCATTTATTTTTTTTTAACTTAACTACGAATAATTTTCGTATGGTTCGGCTAATAACACATTTGCCTCGTCAGTAATAGATTGGCGTATGAGACATAAAAGAAAAAATGTCAAAACACTAACTAGAAAAATGTCAAGTTAAACTTCCGGAGAGGAGGCTTTTTTCTCTTTTCTGGGACATCGTTTGGACGGTCAAGTCGTGCTAAACAAAAAAAAGTTCACGTAAAGTATCGGTTGAAATCATTGAAATTTTGCATAGCAAGCATAAAAAAGGAATCGACTATTCAATTAATTAAAGCGCGAAATATAAAGATGTAATAATATTTAAAAAAAAAAAAAAGTGCCAGTCAGAGATCTTAGAAATTTCGAGCCCATCAGACTACGACCGCGTGGCAGAGGTGGTGAAATTTTCTAAGCCCACATTTTATCTGGAGCCTTGAGATAGATATCCGAGATATCCGCTAACTTTGGAAAGATTATCCCCGGCACCTTTCTTGGCGGACGCAGAGCAGAACGACCTAAATGTCCAGGCTGTCGCCCATGTGGAACGGCAGGTGCTCCTCATACTGTGCATGTTCGCATATACACACACCTTCACCTACGTGATACGCGACCTACAGGCTTATGTACGCCTGACCATGGTGGTCAACCCAACGGAGGGATCTACCATTTATTTTGTATATTTTTTTTGTTTACAATTACTGAAAAATTAAGGCCAAATACTTTAGCATTTAATCTAACTAATTCAACCCCAAAACTTTACTAGGTTACTTAATTTAGACTTTCCTATTATTACGTGCACTGCATTGAGTTAGAAAGTGCACAAGTCGTACCAATTTAATTACCTTTTGGGGGAAAAAAGGTGCACAAAACATTTTTTTTCTTCAATTTTTGAAATCTCGAAATTGCCTTATTTGAGTTAAAAAGGAAAAAAAGAGAGAAAAAAAAATAAAAAAATAAAAAAATTGTATTCTGCGAGTATCTAGTGTGGTTAACTAAAGATGTATGTAATTTTTCTAATATTCTTAATGATTACCACTATAACTAGTTAACGTTTTCAAAGTAAAATTTGGTTTAATCATGAATTGATGCTAATGAAAAGCAAAAATTAAATCTAGCCTTTTTAATACATTTGCAACCCCTACTTTAAGTTTTTGTACACCGCCTCTGGCGATTCGTAAAGTCTTAGCGATAACGTGAGTAACAAAATACGACCATTTATAGTCAGCGAGTACATAGGTACATTAAAACAAAAAAAAAACATAGACTGAGCGACAAATCTAATATAGTATACATACATACATATATATTCAAGCATGTACTGTAATTCATACCTCTGTTAAGCACCAACTCCCAGGTCACCGAGCATCTCATCAGGCACCTGCTGACAGCGATCGGGACAACAACATGTAAGTTTGATTTCATTATTTGCTCTTAAATACCTATGTATAGTAGATTTTTCGCAAGAGAGTAGCTGAATTCCAACAACCACTCTAGAGAGAGAATTAAGGCTCTGTTATGCATACTTGGCATTGCTTGAGAGTTGTCACATAAGGAATCTGTTAAATGAGCTTCGCGTGTAAGCGGTTACCCAACGCACAGCATTACATACGTAAAAGTCTGTTGGTTTTTGATTTCTACGTAAAAATGGTATAGCAGTGCATGCAATGCCAAGTATGCATAACAGAGCCTTTAAGCTTGCGCAAAGTTATAAAGCAATACCTATTTTTCGTTTGTTCTCCTGTCATGTTAAACAAGTTACACTCTTAGGGCCGGTTGTTCAATGCATGATTAACATTACCATCAACCGGGGGTTGGTTAATCGTCTGGTAGCTTGAATTGACAGTTTCGTTTGCCCCAAATTCTAATTAGCTGACGTCGGGTTAGTTTGATCATTGTGAATATTTTAGTAAAAAGTTCACAAAATTTGCATTGTGAATAGTCAAAACCTACATGTCAGCTGAGTTTTGTTTACATTTTTAAATTTCGTGCATTTCGTACCGGCTGTTGTATTTATATTTTTTAGTGAAAATTTAATTAAACTATGGACTCTGTAAAACAATCCAAATATCGGCTACCGAATTTCACCAGCACAGAAGAGAACCTGCTGCTGTCTCTGGTTGAGCAGCATGCAACTATCCTCGAAAATAAGCGGACTGATGCTGTTTCCTGGGAAGCTCAGAAAAAAGCTTGGGAGCAAATTGATAGCGCCTTTGAGGCTCAGATGGGCATAAGAAGAGGACCTAAAAACCTGCGCGAAAAGTACGACAACATGAAAAGAAATACCAGGAAGAGCTTGGCGGAGGAAAGAAGGGAGATTTACCGAACGGGTGGTGGGCAGTATAAGCCATGTACTGACCCCAACACCGAGAGGATAGCGCCGCTATTGGGTCAGTCGGCAACCGGGTTGTCAAATGCTTATGATAGCGATGGTAAGATTCCTTGTGGATTTATATATGTAAAAAAACTTGTAGTCAACTAATTAAGCTGGTGACATTTTGGCCAGTTTCGAAAGTTTTTCTTTTGCGTATGTATTTAATGTATATTTTAGAATAGAATCGGCCTTCGGAGTCGGCGTATAACGGTAATTTCCTCCTCTTTGTGTGACAACACCGACACGCACGCAACAAATCGGCCAAAAACTAACATATTTAACCCGTTCCCATACTCCATGATTTGCAAGTTTTACAGGAAGTTGTTCCCGTACGCCACGTTCATATAAGGTTTGTTAAAGGCAAACAGCTTTTCCTGTAAAACCTTCAAATCATGGAGTACGGGAACAGGATAATTGTATAAGCGCAAACAATTATTATTATTCAGTTACACAAAACCTTAATTTTCTCCACCTTGCAAAAAACAAGTAATTGGTTCTGTTGTGATTTTTAGTATTGTATTCCGATTTTTATTATTATATCTTTTCAGTTATTTCATTTGAAATTTCGCCTGCAAAGGAAGGTTTTCTGGCAGGCACTGAAACTCTAGATGAATCAATGAAAGGCTACGAAGGAGAAACTGTAGTAGAGGCAACTGAGGCAGCAGAAATTGTATTGAATTATGTTATAAGTACATACAGTACATTTATCTAAAATTTTTATTTTTATTTTTTAGGAAGCAACTGATTGGAGTTCATGGAACCCAACTCTTCTTCGAAAGAAAAAAAAATGAAAAATTAGCAGCAAAAGGCGAGAAGAATGTCAATTTAGATTCACAACAAATTTTTTGGTAGGATGAAAACAGGAGAGCAAGCGAGAGACATGAGTGGTCGAGAAAAAAGCACGCTCTGGAATTGAAAGAAGTAGAAATGAAGTTAGAACTTCTTGAATTAGATATAGAATTTAAGAAGAAAAAATAATGTGATCTTAGCTTTATATGCTAACGTTATACATATAAACATATCGATATGTGTATGCATGTGTAAGTATTTTATTTATTTATTTATTTATTAGAAATATAATTATGAATAATTATATTACATTACGAAAGGCACTAGTAGCTAAGACTATCGGCCTGAAATAACTCTAATAGATTGTTTACTTAATTATAAATAATCATTAGAATAGAATTAAATTGAATAAAAAATCAGAAAATAAAATTATATAACATAGAGAAGTCCAATTTGATATATGAAATCATAAATACTTGACATATTTTCTAGTGAAATCTCTTTTAATAAATCTGAAGGTTTCCCGCCTTTGAAGATATTCTTTCTGCCGTTGTTGTACTTGGTGCAGTAGTCTATTATGTGGATAATGGACAGTGGACAGTTACACGCTGAGCAGATTGGAGCAGGCATCCCTTTTAGAAGGTGTTGGTGAGTCATATTTGTATGTCCTAGCCGGAGTCGGGTGAAGATTTTTGTCTGCTGCACTGTTGCTCCTGTTGGTATAATTGCTTTTAGGCGTTTTGGATTTATGGATTTATAACTGTGTTGGTATGTAATTCATTTCTCCATTACAGTTGAGTAATAGATACTATCGACTTGTCTAAGGATGTCCGTTTTAACGAATGAATCAAAAAAGAAACTAGGCATATTGCTGACGTTTTTTGCTGCTTTATCGGCGCGTTCATTGCCAACAATTCCGCTGTGTCCAGGGACCCACATAATTTTTATTTTCGCCTTTTGCTGGGACAATTTATTTCGAATTTTTTCAATTAAAGGTTCTCTGCTGTTTGGGCTCAAGAGAGCTGAGACGGCTGATTTACTGTCCGTGCAGATTATATATTTTCCCTTAGTAGAGAAGGCGTAGTCGATAGCGAGGTTTATTGCAATCGTCTCGGAGGTAAATATCGAGTTGTGTGGGAATAGAAGACCCGTTCTAAGTATGCATCCCTTATCAGAGACGACAGCAAATGAAGTTGAATCGTTTTCTTTAGAGCCGTCAGTGAAAATAAAGCTCCAACCTTTGGCAACCCAATAGTTCTTGATGTCTAAGAATAGCATTTGGTATACAATATTAGAGGTGTTTTGTTTTGGATACATGAGTAGGCTGGTGATGACATTGGATGAAGAGAGATCCCAGGGTGGAAATCTCGATGGTAAAGTTAACATTGGCTTAATGGGAACGTTGAGTTTCGCAGTTTCTTGAACTACTCTGTATATAGCTGATGCTCGCTTCATTCTTGTGGTTCTTCTGATGACATTTTTTAAGTCATTGTTAATAATTGGGTTACTGGAACAATAAATCCTTGGAATTAGACGAAGTGTATTATACCGTATTCTATCACTCATTTCAGGAAGTCCAGCTTCCGCTAAAATATTTTTCGTCGGTGATGTTGGAAAAGCTCGAAGGCTTTTACGAACGGCTGAATGGTATACTGCCGACACGCTCGCGATTGTGCTTTTTGAACACTGTCCATATATTGGTAGACCGTAATCAATGACAGATGTTATTAGAGACTTTGTTAGATTTATTAAAGTATTTTGGTGAACATTACTATATTTTGAAGCAAAGTATTTTATGAGATTTAATCTATTATTAAGTTTACGTTTTAGGTATTTACAATGTTCCTTAAAGCTAAGAGTTTTATCAAAAATTATGCCTAATATTTTTAGATTAGTAACGTTTTCTATTATCTGATTATGATAGGTCAAGTTAAAGTTACTACAAAGTTTTTTCTTACATATATGTAATGTTTTACATTTACTATAGGATAGGCTAGCTCCGGAACTATGTGCCCAGAGAGAAATATCATTAAGTAAATTATGGAATATGTTATTTACTTCGTTTAAGTTGTTTCTTTTTGAATAAATAAGTACGTCATCAGCATAAATAGAGTGTTTGACGTCGTATTTAGCTAATATATTGCTTATTTCATCAAATGCTATAATAAAAAATATTACTGATATAGGGGAACCCTGTGCTATTCCATTATACAGGGGTACGCTATCAGAGTATTTATTGTTGACTTTTGTTCGGAAAGTGCGGTTTGTTAAAAAGCTTTTTACAAAGTTAAATATCTTTTGGCCAATGTTCCATTTTTTAAGTTGTCTCAACACTACATGTATGCCGATTCTGTCAAACGCTTTTTCGAAGTCGAGGCCCAGTACAGTGACGTGGTTTCGGGTTGAAAAAGCGGTTGACAGGTGATGCTCAAAATACAACAGTACGTCTGATGTGCTTTGCCCAGATTTAAATGCTACTTGATTGGGACTTAAATGTTTTTCTCTTAACGCGAACCACATGATGCGTTTTGCGACGATTTTTTCTAACGTCTTACTGAGACAAGAAAGAAGAGAAATTGGTCGGTAGCTATTGACGTCAGCTTGTGGTTTGTTCGGCTTTAATATTGGCACAATGTCGGCGTTTTTCCAGTTTTGTGCATATATCCCGTTTACGAAAATATTATTATAAAGCCTCAGCAGTCTATTTTTTAGATTAGATGGAGCATTTTTTAATATGGTGTAGCATATTCTATCATGTCCGGGGGTTTTTCCTTTAGCAAACCTTAAGGCTTCGTTAAGTTCTACAATAGTAATTGGCTTTTCTATGAGATTAGCAGCTTCGGAAATAGAAAGGGGGAGATAATCCGATGCACTAAGGGTTAATTTTTTTCGGATATAAATTCTTGATCAAAGTTGGCGTCATTAGAAAATGCAGACCAAACCGAGGAGAAGTGATTGGCGATTTCTTTGCACTCGGTGATTATGCCCCTTTCTGTATTTATAACTGAAATTTGGTTTTGTCTGTAGGAACCGGAAATTAGCCTAATACTGTGCCAGACATCTTTTGTGTTAGTGCTGGGATTGATTGACGCAGTTAGGTTAGCAAAGCAATTTCTTTTAGCTAATTTAGAGTTGTATCTAAAGGTAGCATTTGCCTTTTTATAAATTATTAAATTATTTTCATTTTGTCGCTTTTTATATTCAGCCCAGGCTTTTTGTTTTTTATCCCTCAGGTTTGCTAAATCATTATTCCACCACGGAACCGATGGTTTGTGTAATTTATTTTTTGTTTGGGGTATATGGAGGTGGGATGCAGCATGTATGATCTTTTTAATAGATGCCGCTTCTTTATTGATATTATCGGAAGTGGAAATTTTTAGACACATATCATCACAGGTCTTCTGGAATTTTGGCCAGTTCGCTTTATCGGTAATGAATCTAGGTGGTTTCCTTATTCTATCTTTGTTGAGGTTAGATTCCATCGTGATGATAATTGGAAAATGGTCACTTCCATGGAGATTATTTAAAATTTTCCAAGAGCATTTTGGAGCTAAATTAGCGGTACAAAGAGAGATGTCTATGTTGGTGAACGTCTTGTGGGTTGAGAAGTGGGTGGAGGACCCGTCATTCAGAACAATTAGGTTTGAGGCAAGAAGTACATCTTCTATATTTTTTCCTCTTTGATTTACAGTATCGGCACCCGAGAGGGGGTCCAACCATTAAAATCTCCTAGTAACAAAATTGGTGTTGTTATACTGGTAAGTACAGAAAGGATTTCGCTTGAATTAAAGTTTTGGTCGGGTGGGATATACATTGAAATTAAGGTAAGTTTAAACCCAATGTTTATTTCTATTGCTATTGTTGATATGTTCAATGTGACATCTAATTTTTTTTGCGGGATATCCTGTTTAATTAATACGCATATTCCTTGTTTGCTTGTAGTATTCATGGATAAATTATGATAATACCCAGTATATGATTTGGGTGGAGTAGGAGAGCTCCTATACTGTAAATGCGTTTCCTGTAATGCAATAATTGCGGGATTATATTCTTTTACCAAGAGTTTCAATTCCTGGTAGTTATTCCAATAGCCTTTGATATTCCACTGAAGTACTTTAGTCATTATTAAATAAACAAATATGACACGAAAAGAGAATGGATAGAAATAATGTATTTATGTAAGTAGTGTACTTGTTTTTGCTTTATGTATTTGTTGATCGATAATTGCTGATTACGTTTTGTGCTTTTTTATGTTTAATCTTTGTCCGATGACATTGAGGAGTCATCGGCGAGAGGTAAAGGGTTGGTATGCAGGTAGGCGTTCATTTCGTTTAGGTTGCTCATATGAGAAAAGTCAAGAGAGTAATTGTGAGGTATATTTAAGTAATTTTCTGTATTGGTGTTGTTGTTCAAAAAGGAATGTTGTGAATTAATATCAATAGCTTGGTTATTGTAAAGGTCTTGCGATTGAGTGGGTATCGGGTGTAAATTGAGTGATTGGATGAATGATTGAGTGTTTTCTCTGAACTGTAAGTTGGATTGTGGAATGCAGATCGCCTGCATTTGTGGTGTTGGAGTGTCAGATTGTTCGTTGGCAATGGTCTTATTTGGTGGTTGAGTGTCGTTTATTTCGATATTGTTATTAGGTTTAGAAACGGTAGAAGCAAATGAAAGAGAATTTTCGGGAAGATTTGGAGTTGTTTTGTGTATTTTTATGGCTTCTCGCATGGTGCATTTTTGGGTTACTTTTATTTTTAAAATTTCTATTGCTTGGATGAACTTTTGGCACTTGTTAGAGGAGGCAGGGTGATCGGAGGAGCAGTTTGCACAATACGTGCGCTTACATGTTTCGGGAGAGTGAGGGGGCAAGTTACAATTTTCACATGCTGGCGAGCGTTTGCAAAGTTTGGCTGTATGTCCGAGCAATTGACAGCTCTTACAACGCATGGGGTTTGGGATGTATTGCCTGACACGGACATTTCGCCAAGCAATGTCCATCTTTTCAGGAGTATGGAAGAGGTCGAATGTTAATAATATAACGCCAGTGGGAGACGTTTTTTCGTTGCAACCTTTTCTTTGAAATTTGTAAACGGTGACTACTCCTTGGGAGCTAAGCTCACTCACAATTTCTTCATCTGGCACATTGTTTAGGAAGGGTGCATATACTGTACCTTTGCTGTAATTAAGATTTTCGTGATATTTCACGCTTATACGACATATGCCGGGAAGTTCCTTTAGGGAGAGAAATCT